CTTCCACCTCAACGGGTAGTAAATAAACTAATATCAATCCTAATCTTATGAAAGCAAAAGAATTGCGAGAGACATGTCTTACAACCATAGTTATTTCTCGTTCGACGATGACATTTAGACCAACTTCTTGATCGGTGTCTTGCTCCACACCTTGTTCGATATCCTAACTGCCGTTTCCACCACTTTGCTCACTAACTAACGATTCCTGAACCCCAGTATCTTTCCAATTAATGAAGCTAGGGAATACAAGAGCTGAGAGTTGTTGTTCACCTCTGGGGATCGATATGGCTTTGTCTGTTGAAGTGAGAGACTTCTTAAGATCATTGCCTATAAGAAGAAAAAAACATGGTTAGCCTACAGAGGAGGAGCCGATTAACATCTAAACTGACAAAAGAAACTACTTGGCTACCTGTTCACCTTTCTACCTAGGTACAGGATTTAGGTGATCTTCTCATTCGCCGAATTCCCAATTGCCCTGAACGACAACCATTATGTCATCTATCTTTTTGCCAGAACTGGCGAACGTGGTTACTAAGTGGTGGTCAGTGTCCTTGGCTCTTAAAAAGTACCTTTCTAGCCGACCAGAGGATTTGGGTAGGGCATAGCAATGTTGAATAACAGAAATTCTTAAGTTAAATTAGAGCCAACGGTTTAATTCTATTATACCCATGGTTATTCGGTAGAAATTTACGTTGAGCTGGGAAGGCATTAGTCCCTAAAATAAAGCATAGATCTGAGCATAGGGTGGAGAGTTAAGTGAACTCCACCCTCGGCAACCGCTAACAGAGGAAGGATGATGGTGTTGACATCAACTCTTTCCATGTTTACCTCTTCGTCCCTAACGAGCATCAATTGGATGTCATCAAGGATTGCAAAGTGATGATGAAAGACGATGACCTTATCCACATAAAGGAGGGCTTTCACATAATGGTCATAGGAAGACTGAAACAGAGCACGAGATAAAGAAACAGCAGGAGATGATGGAAATTCTAAAAAAAAATAAAACAAGAAGTAAAGCTTAGAGGACTTACAAGTTGAAATGAAAGATGCACAAATGGTAGAGAGAGCAAAGCAACTATAGATAAAGTCTTGAAGGTGAAGAGTTGTGAAGATGGAGTCTTTTCTGAAGTAAAAGGGCGGAGAAGGTTTTCAAATCGTATTAAATGAATGAAGATTTCGAAGAAACAAGAAACTTTCTACATTCCACATCATGTCCCATTTGACGTGTCAGAGATAGAATGACGTGCCCATTACGTACCCGAATTTCAAGTAAAGCGGCACTTCCGTAGTCGAGCACACCAACTATTCAAAATTCAAGGATAGTCGGGTGCTCAGGGGGCAATTGTGGGAGCCGAATAAATGCAATATAGGGAAATATGGAAAACGAAAAATGGAGCGTATCTGATCCCATCTTAGATGGGCCAAATTCGCCAAGCCCATTAGGTTGGAACACAAAGCCGAGTAGGCTAGGATAAACCAAGGGCATTTGCTGAATAGCAAACCAAGGCGAAGCAGAGCCGGAGGAATAGAGGCTAATCGACATGATGAGTGGGCCTATGTTGTCCCATTTTTGATATGCAGTACAAGTATGGGCTATGAAAAAACAAGGATGAGAGACTACCATAAAGAAAATATCTATGAGGGTGGCTATAAAAACTTCTTCTCTCCCTTTTTAAGAAAGACTAACTTGTTCGTTGGAATGCTAATTCTGGTACCATCGACCAGAGTGTTTTTCTGTTTCAGTTATCAGAGTGAGGATCTCTCAAGGGCTTGTTTGGGACAGAGGAGTATTGTAAAACCACCCCTCACATTCTTGATGATGATATATATATATATATATATTGATCAACAAAAAAAGGAACAACTTTATTGATGAAATTCAACAAAACAGATGAAACACATCAACAAAGCAGGGAAGAGACCCCCAACAAACACACCAGAGGATGGTGAGATACCACCCAACAAGAAAACACAAGCAAAAAGATCAACACCCAAAACAGAAAAACTAACAACCAAACTCCAAACATAGCAAAAGACTAGCACCAACACCAATACAGGCCTAACACCCCCCATTCCCACCAACTTACAAAGACAATGCAAGCATCCCAAACACCACCGAAGCCCTCCAACCAGCACAACACATCAGCATCAAGACATAATACATGTGGTGTTATATGTTAGTATGCTTGTCCAATCAAGAATTGCATGAACATAGGGTTTTTAAATCGTTTCTTCCTTTAATCGATAAGTTGTCCCTCTAGTTCTAGAATTTATTAAAATATCAAACCATCATGAAATCAAAATATGTTTTAATGTGGTGTCATTGGATATGTGTAGAGTATGTGTGATTTTTGGTAGAGCCTAAATATGTGTTTTGATAAGCCAAACTATTCCTCAAAATTTTTGACAAATTTTTTTTGAAAAACAGTCCACTTTGCCCATCCGAGTCCCAGAAGTATTTTTACCGAATTAATTTTCTTATCTCTGGAAGTTTGAAAATTTTCATATAAGCGTGTGTTCTTGAGATGTTTTGTGATTATGACTTGTTTCCTATTTGCTTTGCTATGATGATGGCATTAGTGCCTTCTCGATCGCTCTATTTACTCATGGGTTAGTGACTTGTATCTCATACCACTATTTTTCTTTCGTTGCTAACCGCGCATCATAATGAACCTAATGAAAGGGAAAACTTAAAAAGATGGTAATGGGGTTCGCATTCACTTTTGGAACTCAATTGAATTTGTTGTTATCGGTAATGAAAAGATGGTGGGACGTGTTCCCTTTGAGTTAAATATTGCGCAGGCACGAGTATATTCAGACTATATTTTGGAGGGACAAGATTGGAGTCTCAGGTTAGGGGATAACGGTATGGATACCCCTGTGGAGGGACAGGGCTAGGTTCAACGAAGCTTAAGGACAATTGAGGGTGTTATACTTTTGGAGTTTTTGACCATCTTTTTTGAGATCCACTGATGGCATTGTATGGTATATAATCGTTGCAGGCATCCGTGGTAAGGTAGGACGAGTGGTTGGTAGGACGAGTCTCTTTTGAATAGTCAAATGTCCAATCTCTGTGGTTGGTAGGACGAGTCTCTTTGAGGGACTCTAGCGGTTGTTTTCTCTAACTGTTATTTATATATGTTGTTTTCTCTAACTGTTATTTATACATGTTGAACTGATACATATATTTGTTGCTTTACAATTGTTGTTTATAACTGTTCATTCATTTCATGTTGTATCTATATTTGTTTGTATTATCCAAGTAGTTTTGAAAGTAGGGGTTTGGGTGTTCCTACTGGGCTATCGCATCTCGTGGCTTTTATTGTCCTGACATTCAACACTAGGTATTGAGGAATTTACCACGAAGAAGACTGTGAAAAAGCTTGGGGAGCTGTAGCGGATATGGACTCATGCCGGATTTCCAATCTAACTCCTGTGTTTTTACTTGTAATTTGTAAATCTATGATAATGATGCCTGTATATATTAAATTTTGATGTATTATTATATTGGAAAATACTCCCGGTGTGCAATGAGCAACATCATATGTAACCTTACACAAAATTACATACATTTTCATGAACTTACATAAATGAAATCACAAAAATGTATAAATTGAACACAAATTTGCATAAGTTCGTAAAAATATACGTGATTACATGAATTTTTATTTAACTTAAGCATTTTTGTGAGATAACTTATGTAAGTTCGTGAAAATTTACGTAATTTTTGTGTAGAGTTGCATACAGTATACATTGTATATGGGAGAATTTTTCTAATTGAAATTAAAAATAAAATCTAGAGTTTAAAATAAAATAAATTAAGTACTAGGGATTGTTTTCAAATTATAAAATAGGAAACAAATATTTCACTACAAGAATTTACACATTTGGCGACCACTTTTGCCGACCAAAAAAATTTTAGTCGCAAAAAAATGACATTTGGCGACCAAATATTAATTAGTCGCGAATGATCATTGTTTTTGGCGACCAAATATTATTGGTCGCAAAAGGTTATATTTTGGCGACCAAAAAATGAGTTGGTCGCAGAAAGTGGTATACTTTTCTCGACTAACTATAAATTTGGTCGCGGAAGGTCACATATTTTTTGGCGACCAAATTTTTGGTCGCCAAAAATTTATTTTCAGCAACCAAAAAAAATTAGTCACCAAATTTGTATTTTTAGCGACCAATATTTTAGTCGCCATTGATTGAGATTTGGCGACTAAAAAAGTTTGTCGGCGAAGGTACTTTTTCTGCGACTAATTTGGTCTTTTGGTCGCCAAAAGTTTGGGAGGGAAATTTTATTTTTAGTGGGGCGGGAATTGAAATTGTTTGGCGACAAATAAATTTGGTCGCTAATTTTAAAACGACGTCGTTTTGTACCATGAAATCAGAAAAAAAATAAAAAAATAAAATCAAATCGATGCCCTTTCTCTTTGTTTCTCGGTCTGCCCTCTCCCTCTGTGTTCTTCCTCTCAATCGGTGCGCTCAATCGGTGCCCACTCTCCGCCTCTGGGACCTCTCCACTGGCATCACTGCTCGCCGCTTCGTTTGCCACTCCAAAGATGTCCTCTCCGTCGCTTTCTCCTTCGATAATCTCCAAATCGTCTCTGCTTCCTGAGACCGCTCGATCAAGTTGTGGAACACTTTGGGTGAGTGTAAGTACACGATTTAGGATGGTGATTGAAACTCGATTGGGTTAGTTGTGTTCGATTTAGCCCTAATAATCTTCAGCCTAGGATTGTGTCTTCGTTTTAGGATCGGACTGTGAAGATTTGGAATTTGACCAATTGTAAGATTAGGGCTTCGCTTGCTGGGCATTCTGGGTATGTGAATACGGTGGCCGTGTCGCCCGATGGGTCGCTGTGTGCGAGTGGTGGGAAAGATGGGGTTATTTTGTTGTGGGATCTGGCTGAGGGAAAGAAGCTTTACTCACTCGATTCGTGTTCTACAACTTAGGGCTCCTATCAAGATATTTGGTGATTTGCATGGGCAATTTGGGGATCTTATGCGACTATTTGATGAGTATGGCTCACCTTCAATTGCTGGGGACATAGCGTAAGTGTTTTTGTTCGTAGATTATGTTTCATTTTTTGGCATTTTATTCCAATATTGTTTCCATCCTTTAACAAAGAGTTCATCATTGGCCCTAACTTCTTCTAATGTTTCAGAGGCAAACATTAGCCTCTGTAACTTGTTTTATGTGTTTTTGTTTTTATATTGAAATTTTGACAAATCTGTGCCTTGATCACATATTGCGTGGATACATTTTTTAAGTTATTGGTGTAAGAATCAGTATGGCATTGCCACGGCCTGGTGTTTGGTTAGACTTGAGATGTGATGCAAACAATCAAAAGTTAAATAGGATTGAATATGTAAAAAACATTCATTGAAACAAAGCAATAGTCAAAAGTATAGACCGGAACCACCTGAGGGTGGTGGACTGATGGTGTCTTCTTTGATTTGAATATTTCTTCATCGAGGAGCTTGATCAGGTGGCCTGATGGTGGTTTCTTTGATTTGAATATTACTTCTTGTGAAGCTTGATTTGAATTTTGAAAATCTATGATACTTTTCAGACCCTGTTTTGTACTAGGTACTGTGAATTGAGTCCAAGGTGCAATAATATGAGGCAACATATGATTTTGGCTAGATGCAGGGTCTTTTTATTATGCATAAAATGCTAGAAATAATTGTTGTTTATTGTCATGTTTCCATGGGCATTCCCATGGAACTACATTTTTCTATTGCTCTTACAGGTCTACTGTCTGCGTATTATGTTTTTTTCTTTAATGAAAGTGATTACTTCTGTTTGGCCTTTTTAAAGCATGTTCTAGGTCCTTCAGTGAGATTATGCAATTACTAGCAATTTTTTCCCCTTTTATCATGATGCTAATTTCATGTATGACTATCAGATATATCGATTATCTCTTCTTAGGAGACTATGTTGATTGGGGCCAGCACAGCTTGGAAACAATTACTCTTCTGCTATCTTTGAAGGTATAATACTCTTATTTGGCCTGTATGTTCTTCCTTAGTGGTTAATTATCTTAGGGCTCAAACATTTTCTTAAACTAAAACATGTTGGCTATGTTTCTGTCCATATTGATCGGTTGAACTAGAAACTTGTTACAAAGACCTAGAAGGGATCGGGTGAGTAGGTAGAAACTGATGAAAATGAACTGTTAACATGAATGATGTCGACTTTCCCAGTCAGTATTAAGTGTATGCTTAAGTAAGAGGATATGCTTGGAAACACAGTTACGAGTAACGCTTTTGAAATCTACATGGGATTGGTTAAACCTAGTTTGAGTAAGAGGATATGCTTCATTTCTGTTTTTTGCCCCATTTTCTCTAGTTCAGATTAAACAAGAAGCTTAGAGCCTTTATGGTTTTTTTTTCATTGTTTTTGTAGTAATTTTCTGTGTGTGTGTGTGTGTGTGTGTGTTTTTTTTTTTTTTTTGTGTGTGTTTTGTGTGTGTGTGAAATCAAATAATGGGACTTTGCAACGTAGTTGTTTTCCTATCATTTGCATTTTCTTATAATTTTTAAGATTGAAATGTATACATCTAATTCAATGTTGAAGACTAATTCAATGTTGAAGACTGGATGTCTGAAAGAAAACTATGGATCAATTGAAGACTTTGGATCAATTCATATTGTCAACCTTTCACATGAATTAGTCTTCATATTGTCAACCTTTCATGAAAAACTAGTTTTCATATTGAATTGATCGAACCTTTCATGTGTGTTAACTTTACATGAATTAGTGATTGTCAACCTTTCACATGAATTAGTGATTGTTCGTTGCACTATGAACGTGTGTTAACTTTACATTTTACATTGATATTCCTATTCTAGGTCCTGTTTTGGAACTCTGAAGTTTGTCCAGTTGTGTTCAAGCTCAACTCCAGCTGACTGGTCCATATAAAGAAGATTATTTGTTTGTATTTAGTTTATCTAAATTGCTAATTGAACTAGTTCTATAATTATAGTTGTATATGTGTATGTATTGGGCCTTGAAAAGAACAAGTTAGCAAAGAACTAGAAAGAGGAGGATTCCAACCAACCTCAAAACATGTTAGGAAGAGAAGTACATAGAAGATAATTCAATTTGCTTTTTTAATGAAATTTTAGGTGGTTTTACCTTGTGTTTCCTTCATTGGATTTGAACTCTTATGAATAATTATGGTTTCTCCATCTGTTTAACAACTCCTCAAGCTTCCAAGGTTCCCTTTAACTTTCACATGTGTTTATGTGAGGATGAGGTAACCATTATTACAGCAAAAAAGAGAGAATATGATTGAACTACATGAATATTTTTCATGCATGTTTCTTTTTAAACAAAAGTATATATCTTATTTAACACATCGTGGTGTTATTCTTCATCTTGGCTCAAAATGCTTATTGTAAAATTTTGATGCACATGATAGCCAATTTTGATGCCAATTTTGATGCACCATTCTAGAAAACATTTATTAAAATTTTCTTGAAAATATGTTTACTCAACAAAATATTTAAGATAGTTTTTGGTTTGATAATGGACATTAGAAGCAAGATCAACTTTAAAATAGTTGAGCAAAATCATCTCATGTGTTATCTTTATTTTGAAATAAGGTGTGCCATTTCTGACATAACATCAAGGGAGAAATTCCCTTTTTACTAAACTTGGACAGATTCTGACCCTTTGTGTGTGGATATCATAAAATATCATTCAAAACATAATAATAGCTATTGATACCCTTTTCTCATTGTCTTTCCTTTGGCTTTGGCCTTGGTTGCCTTCACCTTGGGGTGGCCGTAGCTTGCCTCGACCTAGTGATGGCAGATGTGATTGGTTGTTGCATAGGATTCAATACTAATAGTGATTGATTCCCTCACTTCCTCATGAACTCTTTTAATATGATCTGCAAAAGCCTAACTCAAGCTAGCCTCATGTTAAATGGTTACTAAATTAAGAACATGTTGATTTGTCTTTCATGCATTCTGCATTCTGCAAAGTGATGCAGTGGTAACATGTATGATGGATTGTCCGCTTATACAAAATATTTCCTATGGTCATAAGCAGAAATTTTGATTTGGTCATAAGCCCTAAACTCCATTGTCTCTATCTCGCTCTGTGTCTCGGTCCGCCCTCTCCCTCTCTGTGTTCTTTCTCTCAATCGGTGCCCACTCTCTCTAGCTCACCGAAGTCCCTCACCATCGTTGCTCACATCCGTCGCACATCGCCATCGCCCTCTGTCTTTCTCTCACACAAAGGGAGCGATTGCTGGGTATTCGCTGCTGTGGTTGTTGCTAGGTATTCGCCAAAAGCATACGTATGCATACGGTACCGTGATTTTTGCACTCTCGATCATTGGTTGAAGACATTGTTTACTGGGCAAGGCTGGATTCTTCTTTCTACTTGGTCCTCTGTCGAACGGGTATCCAGAAAGATTTTTGGGAAATGTCTCTCCTGATGTTGTTGCAGAGAGAAGTGCCCTAATTCAAGAGTGTTTACGATCCATTCTGCACTCCAGGTTTTCATCCAGCCTTCCAAGTGCTCTAAAGGGTACATTGCTCATTCCTTTGTCTTTTCTATTTGATTCCTTTTATCTTTGTTTTCTTGTAAAAGAATCATTGACAACAATTTTAATTACTAGAATCTGAATTGTAGTCTTGAAAGCCACTGTTGTGCAAACCTTAGCTTTATATGCCTTATTGTAATTTCTTGATCCACCATTTGCTCTTGTGGTTCAGCCTGCAAACCTAAGGAATTTTTAGGGTGCCTTGCATCAGTGGATAGCACCGACACTCTGTCCGCATCATGAGTTGGTTGGCTTTTTTGCGTGTATATATATATATCCACAACATACATATTTTTGTGACTTTTGGCTGTTGATATATGGTAAGTGAAAGAGGGTGGAAATACTATAACCACAAATAATACGTCTTATGGTAATAAGATTCTACTAATGCAAGGCCAATAAACAATGTATATATTACATTTTTCATGTTGGTGAAGGCATGCTATCTTCATTTCTTTCATTTTTTTCTTACGTCTATTAGCCTTTACTTGCTTTGTACTTATATTGCTTTGAGTAATATCTATTCTTTCTTATTGTGATTGACTCGCTAGAATAACATTGCTTAGTTGGTGCCCATAGTGAAACAGGTAAAAGACTGTGATATCTGTGGTGATGTTGGTCGGGAGGATTTTCTTGCAACTTGTAGCAAGTGCAGTGATGGGGCAGAGCACACGTAAGTCATTTATGATTTGTCACTTAGACATTACTAGTTTTACTGTAGTTCATTTGGTATCTTCTCTTATTCGTTTCTTTGAAATGTGAACATTCACATTTTGTTTTATTTTCAATCAATCAGTTACTGCATGCGTGTTAGGCTGGAAAAAGTTCCTGAAGGCAATTGGATGTGTGAAGATTGCTTGCTTCAGGAAGAAATTGAGAAACAGAAGCAAAATAAATTGGAAAAAGTAGGTAGGACTCCGCTAAAGGCTTAGATGTTGAGAAAAGTAGACGAGACAAAGTTGGTTCAATTTCACGCATCTGTGCAAAGAGACCTGCGGGCAATTTAGAATTTGACTCTATTACGAAAAGAAGGGCTCTTGAAACGAGTGTTGGATCTCCAAGGATGTCCAACCCTTGCAAAAAAAAGTCCACTTTCTCAGGGTTCTCTGCATAAGAATGTGGATAATGTGAAAGTAAAACCGACGTGTCACGTATCTACTTTCAGTGACCGCTCACCCTCATCCATGATTTCTTTTTCTAATTCACCCAAGACTCGAACAAGTCGTCAGATTTCATGAGGTAATTTTCTAGCCTTCCAAATGATATTTTAGTGATTTTAGTGATTTTCATCCAGCCTTCCAATTGCATATGTTTCATGGAGCTAACATCTTTTTAATTTAGTGATTTTAAAAATTCTGGCTTCAATGGCTTCTCCACAATCAAAATGTGCATTTAAATGAATAATGCTCAGCAACTGTTGAGCATGGGAGTGTATTCTAGAGACCAAGAATAAGCAATAAATTCAGTTAATGATATTTTCGCTCATACTCCAATGAGGCCACATTCTAAATGCTATATATATGTACTAAGATAGGCATGCATATTAAATGGGCTCATGTTCAGACCTGAAGTCCTCTCTTGATGAGCAAACTCTGGAATTGCAGGTTAAAATATAAGATAGGCATGCATATTTAATGTCAAGGAATCAACTCAATAAGCTTCAATCCCAACATACTATTGTGGGTATATGGATCTGGTTTTTGTAATCTATAGTACGTAAAGCCACCTCAGTCAAATTCAAGACAATCAAGACCTCTCACACAATTGTAGATTAACTCTCGGTAGAATTTTTTGGAAAACGTGGTGGCCAATAAATCACTTATGAATTTTTAAGTTAAAATCTCTTATAAACATGAAAAGCAACAACATTAAGGAAATAAATTCATAATAAGACCATAAACCAAGCTATATTTATTCACAAATCATCTTCATGTGAGTCCTATTAATCAACTTTCCAAACCCTGTTTTATTTTCACCAAAACTCTAGTGATTTTTTTTCATGTCTGTATTTCTCCTGCAGTGTCCAAGTCTGGAATAGTGGAAAGTCTCTTGTCATGGGCAGATTCTGGAGTAGTGGTATGTTTTTATTCTTTTATTGCATTTTTATGCATTAATAAGAAGTTTAAAGTAGCACTTAATGATTTTTTCTGCATTTTGACTCTAGACCTTGGGTATTTCAATTCCAGAATTTCTATACATAAATATCTATAAATTTTCTAAAACTAAGGTGACTCATGTGTGGGCATGTGTGCATCCATCTATTCATTCCTGCAGTAATCTTTCCTATTCATTTTTTGATATGCACAGGTAAAGCATAGTAGAACATCATCCCCATCTTCTTATGAGAAGGATTTTTGTGAATTGGTAGATATATATACCAGAAAGAAAAGGCCTGATAAAAAGAAGCATAATGTGATGCTTATATACATGTTTATATGCATGTGTGTATCCATTTATACATGTTTCTTCTAGTGACTCTAGTAACTTCATTTATCTTATTACTCTTCTAATTGTCCAATCCATGGTAAAGTGGGGATCTTTGAAAAATTATTCTCTTCTTAGCAGGTTGAAGAGCATAGACAAGGGATTGAGAGATTGATGTGGAAGGCCATGGATGAAAAATGTCGTGCTGATAATCTGTCTCAGTAGGTTGAAGAGCATAGACAAGGGATTGAGAGATTACGAAAGGAGATAGATGAACTTGTATCCTTGAGAAAGTTGGTTGAGGCTCCTGATGACCTGTCTGATAAATGTATGAATGATGTAACTGCAAAAGTGAAAGGTGGGTTTCCGGCAAGAAAAAGTAGTGCTGCTGAAGAAAGGAGACTTGCTGATATTGAACGAAAAAAGGTTGAGGAAAATCTTATTCAGTTGGAGAAGTTAAAGAGAGAAGCCGATGACGCAAGATCAAAATTGGTTTTGGAGACATTCAAGTCTGAAGAGGCAAACAAAAAGATTGAGGCAAAAAAGAAAAAGGTGATTACAGAGAAAAAACGCGCAGATTCAGAGATGGCCAAAGCAGAAGAGCTAAGGAAGTTTGCAGAAATTAATTAGAAGAAGGTCATGGATGAAAAGTGTCGTGCAGATTATTTGTCTCAGCAGGTGGAAGAGCATAGACAAAGGATTGAGAGATTACAAAGGGATACAGATGAACTCGTACCCTTGAGAAAGTTCGTTGAGGCTCCTGATAAATGCATGAATGCTGAAGCTGCAGAAGTGAAAGGTGGGCTTCGAACGGAGATATTAGAGAGAGAAGCTGATGAGTCGAAGTTGGTTTTGGAGTACTTAAAGTCTGAACAGGTAAACAAAGGGCTCAAGGAAGAAAAACAATAGGTGATCAGAGAAAAAAAGCATGCAGATTCAGAGACAAGGAAAGCAGAAGAGCAGAGAAAGGTTGCAGAAACAAATAAGAAGGCGGCCATGGAAGAAAGACATCGTGCGAATCAGTTAGCTCAGCAATTAGAGGATAATAAGCGAAGAATAGAGGAACTACAGAAAGAGATATTGGAACTTGTGTCCTCTAGAACATTGGTTGAGGCTCCTGCTGTTCTGCCCGATAAAAATATGAATTCTGAAACTGCTATAATGAAGCTGCAGAGAAAAAAACTGAAGTTTAAAAAGAAGCAAGTAAAACATGCAAAAAAAGTTGCTGAGTTTGAAATATATCGTAATAATATACTACAACAAGAACTATGTTGCTTAAGGCAGGGTTTTGTTCAATTTTCGCATCGCTTAGATGTACTAAATAACTACTTCTCACAGCAGGGTGAAGGTAGTAATGACCTGGTAAAGGTCGGTTTCTCTTTTGCTTATTATTCATTTAAACTATCTGAACATACTTGAATTAAATTTTTGTTGATTATTTGATAGGTACAGTGATGTCATTTATCAATAATAGTCTATAGCATACAGGTTTCTAGTGTTTGTTATTGGACTATATTTTGGTTGAGTTTACTTAGAAGCAAGTTAATTGAAGTACATACTTATTTGACTGATGGCTGTTTAGCTTTTAATCTGATGGGTGAGTAATCCAATCAGGGCTTATGCTCTTATAATTCATCATGGACTTGCTTGTATTTGTATTTTAATAAATATTAGGAGATGGTTATTTGGTTGAAGATTATAAATAATGCTATTCATATGTAGCTGTTGTCAGTCAAGTTTTGTAGCCTGAGAATTTATAGTTTCAACTTTAAATACTTGAGTTATGTGTTGAGTACTTATTCATCCTATTTTCTGTATTCTTTGCAAGTGATTAGATTTCGATATCTTATGCTTTTTTATTTTTTCTCCTTCCTTGAACCAGAGCATACACAAGTTTCTTCACATGGTATTTACTTAACTACTTGTCTAATTTTTGCAGACTGGCAACGTCTTTAATACTCCAAGCTTAAACTTGAGGAGGGAACGCTTCAGTAAAAAGCGGCGCAATAATGAGCTTGTAAAGCCTATTTGCACAGCTATGGATGCCTCTGATTTTATCAAGCAAACCATAGAATATTTGAGATTGCTTTCTCAATAATATTAATCTGAAGGGCAGATTTTGATTTTGAATCTTGCTCACCCCATGATTCCACATCAAATTGATCATCTTGTAACTCAACCTTTTGTTCCAATGGAGTTCTTAGTTCTACATTATGATGGATAGGTGAAGATACAGTGTCTTCTGCAATCTCAATATCATTAATCTTCTGGGCAGATTTTGACTTTGAATCTTGGTCATGTTGATCTGAAGACAATGGGACTGTGGTAGCATCAGCAATATGCATTTTTAGCTCTGCATTATGATGGGTAGGTGAAGATACAGTATCTTTTGCAATCTCAATAGCATTAATCTTCTGGGCAGATTTTGACTCTGAATCTTGGTCATGTTGATCTGAAGACAATGGGACTGTGGTAGCATCAGCAATATGCATTTTTAGCTCTGCATTATGATGGGTAGGTGAAGATACAGTATCTTCTGCAATCTCAATAGCATTAATCTTCTGGGCAGATTTTGACTCTGAATCTTGGTCATGTTGATATGAAGACAATGGGACTGTGGTAGCATCAGCAATATGCAGACTGTTTCTGGATGTTGCAACCGTAGAAGAGTCAATAACACTGTTGAGGAATTCTGAATTAGAATCATCACAAGAAACTGTATTGCACAAAACAGAGTCCAAATTTGATGAAGCAACTGCCTGTTGATCCACCTCCTTTTCTGTGCAAGATTCTTGAAAATGCTCTGGGGAACATGCCTCATTGATTTCCATACCATTTTGATGTAAATCCTCGAGAATAGTAATAGATTCTTCTTGCAATTTTGTGGGACTGGTAGAAAAAGATTTGCTGTCACCTTCATTATCATCACAATGCGAGCCAACAACAGCAGTAGCCACAATCACAACTTCCGAATGAACAGTTTCAGTTACTACATCATCTAAATGCACATCGGGAACTGGTGGAGGATCTGGAGATCTTTGAAAATCAAGTGAAAATTTAAGGTTGCTATCATCCTTTCCAATGATATCCATGTCAGTGGAGAATCCACCCGATTCTTCACAATCTGCTGCATTGGAAGCCACATCAAGATTTTTCTCTCTAGAATATGAAAAACCCACTTCTGCTGAATCAAGTTCATGTGGGGAAATATTTTCTGATATTCCTGAGAACTGATGCTTTGTAAAGCTAGTAGCCTCTAGATTGTCCACTGTCTGAGTTGAGCTAATTGCTCTCTCCTCTGGCATTGGAGGAGCATCATCTACTTTACTATACCATCAGGCTTCATATCAGGATGACAAGTTTCCAGTTTTGGGAAGGCTGAATCAAGATGCTGCTCTTCTGCATGTGAAGCAACTGAATGTGGTGAGACAATCTGAATCTTGGAAGGAGAGTTTGGGAGGCAGAAAGTTCTAGCGTTTTTCTTAACAAGGTCACGAAGCTAAATTGTACAAGACTACTTGGCAGTATGAGCATTTTTGGGAGGATTAAATATTTTTGGATGGATATGTATGGATAACAAATATTAGTAGTTTTATTTGTTGATAGTTGCGCATGGATAACAAATAGTTATGTTTCAAATTGTTATGCTAGATGGATGTGACTTGTGAATGAAAACTTAGAATAGTTGTATTGTGTCGAATGTTAATGAATTATGTATTGTGTCGAATGTTAATGATTCAGTTAATTTGAATGATGCTTTAAACTTATAGGTTTATTATGGATTGAATGAATTATTAGGAATTACAGGTGTATTGTTTTCCTGCTTTGGCGACCAATTTATTAGTCGCGGCATCCAAAATAATTTTTTTTCGCAAAAAATGACAATTGCCGACCAAGAGTTTTGGTCGCAAAAAATACATCTATTGCCGACCAAAACAGCTCTTGGTCGTGGAAACTTACTTTTCCCGACCAAAAATTTTGGTCGCGAAAAGTAACAAATGGCGACCAAATTTTTTGGTCGTGGAATGTCACAATTAGTGACTAAACTTTTTGGTCGTTGAATGTGATAATTGGCGACCAAACTTTTTGGTCGCGAAATGTGTCAATTGGCGACTAAGATATTTGGTCGGGAAAATATCACTTTTCGCGACCAAAGTGTTTTAGCGACAAAATGAATTAGTCGCAGTAATTAAATATTTAGCGACCAAAAATTTAGTCGGCAAATCCAACTTTTGCCGACCAACCAAAATTTTAGTCGCGAATTACTTTTGCCGGCCCTCAATTGGCGACCAAAGTAGCGACCAAAAAAATTGGTCGCGGATAACTTTTGCCGACCAAAAATGGACTTTTAGCGACCAATTTTTTTGTTGCCAAAAGTGTTAATTCTTGTAGTGTTTATTTCAATAAAATAAATGCTTAAAAAAATTGGGGTTTGTTGGATTTAATCGCAAAATTTGGCAAAATCAAGAACTAAAATGGAATTAATTCAGAACTCATAATTTAGAATATAAATTTTAAAAATTAGGGTCTGCACAAAAATTGTGTATACCATTTTTCTATGAGAAAATTATGCTGCGGCTGAATCCTTTAAGTAATAAAAATATAAAATGAAAAAAAAAAATTCTTGATCCTGGAAAGTCATGGCATTTTTTTCTAGTCATTAATATATAAAATGTTTCGGAAACAATACGTGTTGGTCTGGATTTTAATTAGTTTTTGGGGAACTATTAGTATTTAATATGTTTTTGATGGTACCAGATAAAAAGTTCTTTTATTACTTAAATAATGTTATTTAGATTTTGAATTTATGGATGGATTTATGAAATAAAAATTATACAAAGATAAATGGGTGACACGTGTACAAATATGTCCAAAACAATCATTGGTATTTGGTTGGTTGCAGTGAGGTGGGTAGATAGGTGAATGAATAGTGGTAGCATCAGCAATATGCAGACTGTTTGTGGATGTTGTAACCGTAGAAGAGTCATGAAATAATGTTATTTAGATTTTGAATTTATGGATGGATTTATGAAATAAAAATTATACAAAGATAAATGGGTGACACGTGTACAAATATGTCCAAAACAATCATTGGTATTTGGTTGGTTGCAGTGAGGTGGGTAGATAGGTGAATGAATATGTGACCCATCTTCAAATAAGTGACATTTGAATAGATAGTTAAACAATTTTATGCACACATAAGTGACATTTGAATAGTTAATTTATGGATAATTTTACCATTTCAAATATTTTTTGATCCTTTGACAATTTAGTGTGTACTATTTTAAATGTTCCATGATGTGAATATGAGATATTCACATTGTCAATGTAAATATCAATGCGCGCTTTACTTTATTATTATTAAGAGTATTTTGTTAGCTATATTACCTACTTGACTTATTGAAACATAATAAAATAATTTAAATTAAGTTAAACATAAGTAGGTGAAGAGAGATTTATGAATAAATGTCCACTTATTTTTTTATTGGATTGCTTAAGTATTTAAGAATTAGCTTCTCTCATGTTCTTAATCAGATAGGTGCCGTTTGGGAAGTGGGTTGACTTTTTGACTTTTTGACTTTTTTGATTATTTTATCCTGGGCTAAAAAGTTTGGTTTGGGAAGGATTTT